CTCCAAGAGCTGCCTCATCTGCTTGCGCAAGTACCCATGCTTCAGATCCATATAACAGCACGGATAGTATCAGTGTCTTGTAGAGTGTGAGTTTGGTCTGGCGGGATGTGGCCTCGGTTTTGAGTTGTTTGCTCAGATCATAGTAGCATCTGTTTGCCATCACTATCCTTCTCCGAATTTCAAAACTGATGTCATTCGTTTTGTTTATGGCGGTGCCAAGGTATATAAAATCTTTGGCTACCTCGAAGCTGTAGTTCTCATATTCCACAGTTGGTCCGAGTCTACTGGACGTCTTGCGCGTTGATACCATCAGCTTGGTCTTCTCGCCGTTTACTGCCAGACCCACTTTGGCAGACTCCTTCTCAATTTGTTCAAAGGTGGCTGTTAACGCTCTCAATGTTCGACCCATTATGTCGATGTCATCGGCGTAGGCGAGTAACTGGTGTTGTTTGGTGTACAGAGTGCCATTTTTGTTCACATTTGCCACTCGTATGACCTTTTCCGGCAGGATGTTAAAAAAATCACACGACAACTGTCACCTTGTCTGGATCCTCGTTCGGTATTGAAGGGCTCCGAGAGGTCATTTTCGACTTTAACTGCTGATCTTGTGCCAGTTAAAGTTATCCTGCATAGCCGGTTCAATTTTGCAGGAATGCCAAACGCAGACATGGCTTTATACACCTCTGAACGGATAGGGCTGTCGAATGCGGCTTTTTAGTTGACGAATAGGTGGAATGTGTCGATGTGTTTTCCCAGGATTTGGCGCAGAGTGAAAATCTGGTCAATGGTGGATTTGCCAGGTCTGAAGCCGCATTGGTATCATCCAATAATGTCATTGACCATTGGCTCCAGTCGTTCACACAGCACGCTGGGTAGCACTTTATAAGCGATGGGAAGGAGACTTATTCCTCTATAGTTGGCACATTTCGTCTTGTCTCCTTTTATGTGCACAGGGCACAGGATGCTGAGGTTCCAATCATTGGGCATGCATTCCTCTAGCCAAATTGTACAAATCAGCTGGTGCATGCTCCTGACCAGCATCTGACCACCAGTCTTGAATAGTTCTGTTGGTAATCCATCGCCTCCTCCTGCTTCATTATTCTTCAGCCGATTGATTGCTATTCTGACTTCATCTTGGCTAGGTGGTATACACTCTATACCATCATCTCTTATTGATTCTGGGGTATCCTCTTCACCGCTACTATGTGATACCAGCAGTTTTTCAAAATGCTCCTTCCACATCCTCAGCACGCTGTCTGTATCTGTCAGCAGGTTTAATTCTTTATCTCTACAGGAGGATGTGCCTGCACCAAAGCCTTCGGTTTGGTGTTTTACCCGTTGGTAGAATTTTCGGACTTCAATCTGACTCCTGTACATCTCGATTTGCTCACACTCACGTTTTTCTTGTTCTTTCTTCTTTTTTCTGAAAACACGTTTCTCCTCTCTCCTTTTCTCCCGATAATTCTCCATCACATTACGCGTTGCTACTGTCTGCAGGGTTGCCCTATACGCTACGTTTTTCATATTAGTAGCATTACGACACTCCTGATCGTACCACGGATTTCTTGATGGTGGTCTTTGGTACCCATGTGTTGCTTTTGCTGCAGTTTGTAGGGAATGGTCAATTCTTTTCCATTGTGCTTCTATACTATTATCGGGACAAGAAGTGCTTTCGTCAAGCAGTTGGGTAAGTTGAGCGGATTAGGCATCTGCTATATGTTGTGTGTGCAGCTTTTCGACGTCAAATTTCCGTGTTACATTAGATCGCACCTTTACTGCTACATTAAGACGGGTGCATACCTTGGATGGCACAAGGTAATGGTACGAATCGATATTCACTCGTCGGATCGATCGAACGTCTAATACACAGGATGAATGCCTTCCGTCTATCACAACATGATCGATTTGATTTCTCGTTGCTTGATCAGGAGAAATCCAGAAGAGCTTGTGTATATCAAGATGCTTGAATCTGGTGCTGCTAACTACCATGTTTTTTTGCTGCGGCGAAGTTAATCAACCTCATGCCGTTGTCGGATGTTTCTTCATGGAGTCTGAACTTTCCGGCGGTGGAACCAAAAATATTTTCCCTTCCGATTTTTGCATTAAAATCTCCTAGCAGAATTTTAATATCATGGCCAGGGCAGCGGTCGTATGCTGTTTCTAGGCGCTCGTAAAAAATGTCTTTGGTCTGTTCATCCTTGTCTTCCGTCGGAACATAGGCGCAAATAAGACTGATGTAGAAGAACTTCGCTTTTATGTGAATTATAGCAATTCGCTTATCTACTGGAGTGAATCTGGAGACGAGGTCTGTTATTCTCCTATTAACCACAAATCCGCAGCCAAATTCACTTCTCGTTTCATGGCAGCTTTAATACAGGGCGTAATCATCTGATTTACTTACACCAGTCCTTTTCCATCGCATTTCCTGTAAGGCAATAATATCGGCTTTGTACTTCTTAAGTACATCCGCCAAGGCGAAAACTGCACCTATTCTGTTCAACGTGCGCACATTCCAAGTGCAGATTCGTAGATCGTGGTCCTTTATTCGTTTGCGGGGGTAGTCTACAAGGGGGGGGGGGGGGGGGGGGGGGGTTTCTTTTTCGTTGCTTTTGCATAGTAGCAGGGGTTTTCCGAGTGTGGGCAACTAACCCGACGCCTCAACCCATTTTTTATTAGTTCTTATGGGTGAACTCGCGGCACATATTAGCTCTCTATTTCATCGGGTGATGAAAATAGCCACCCCAGGTGACGCCACGGGGAGGTCAGTGTCCACAATTGAGATGAAAGAGGGACCAATATAAGCCTGGACTTCGGCATGTTAAAGCCAATCAGAGCCGTTGATTGGTATCTATCATCCCCTATGCCACCCTATTATTTTTAAGGGTTCTACACACAAGGAGTGGATTTTTTTAAAAAATATTTTTTCAAAGTTTACGCCAAGGCGTGGATTTTTTTAAAAAAGTTCTCTTACATCAAAATTTATTGTTCTTATTACGAACTAAAATAAAATTTACAATTTTCATAACAAGCCGTTAATAAATCACTTTAACGTAACGTATCTGTTCATTAATAGTTAATTCGAACCAATTCTGAATGCATTAAATATTATGCCTATACTTAATGAAGGCTACTTAACGCTCGTAAGAAAAATTCAATCGAATAATTATTGAAATTAATTGAATGAATGAGACACGACCTACGACAGCTGAGATATTCGATACCGATATAATTAATATTTTTTTCCTAACATCTGGTGATGACATCGTGAGTTAAGAAATTGGATATTGGAGGGGGTCACCCAGGATGGGTTCGCTATCTTTTATTTTTAATTCTAAATTGGGTTTTTTCATCATTTAAAATTCGAAGAAAAATCATCATAATTTCTTCCTCATTCTGAATTGTACCTCACTAACAAATGGGTAGATATCGCCCCGCCCTCTAATGCTGCCCCTCTATTTATAGCCACTGATGTGCTGATCAGTAGCCATTACAATTAAAGAAAAATCGTGCAACGATTTTTCACCATCCACGTGATGTTTCAGCCATGCGATTTTTTTTTATTGGTTATCTGATTGTTCGATCGGTTGATCGAACAGCGATCGAATACATCTTACAGAGTCAGCTTATTATGAGAGCTGTATTTTAATTCTTAATATATTAAAATTAATTAGGCCAGGATAAAATAAACTTTTCCATTTGTAATATAAATTTTTGAATATTTTATTTTTTTTTTTTTTTTTTGAAAAATAATTGTTGGCACAGTGGGACGAAACAAAAATTTTCTTCAATTTTTTCTAGAGCTTTAGATGCCAAAAAAAATCAAGGGTTCTACACAAGGCGTGGATTTTTTGAATTTTTTTTTATAAATATTTTTTTAAGCCGTGGATTTTTTTTTCAAAATATTTTTTTAAGTCTTGGATTTTTTTCAAAACATTTCATCAAGCCGTTGATTTTTAAAAAATTATTTTTTCAAGGCGTGGTTTATTTAAAAAAAAAAATTTTCAAGGCGCGTGGATTTTTTAAAAAAAAATTTTCAAGGCGCGTGGATTTTTTAAAAAAAAATTTCAAGGCTTGGATTTTTTAAAAATATTTTTTCAACTTTCTGATCTCACTTTTCAGGTCGTCACATCTGCTAATTACATAATCGGCTTCGTTGTATATTTCCTCCAATGCAAAATCATACGTTCTGGAGTTCTTGGGGTAGATCGGACAATAGAATTCCAGACAATCTCTCTTGATACCATTCACTTCCTTTACATTGGTTTCACACATTTGGGTCACCTGCTCCAGTTCTGAATTTACTCCTTCATAATCGATTTCGGATGCAAGTTGCTTCAGTTCAGCCAACTTGTTTCTAATAATCTTTACCCATTCCTTTAGTAGACCTTCTGGCCGGTAGAGTATTCTCTCCGTTAAATATGCACATATGGCGTTCAACTCCTGTGCGTCTCGATTAAACCGCCTGTCCATTCTCGTTCTCTCCTTCTCATCAAGTCTTTTTCCAAGACTGTATGGAAAAATCTAACTTTATTTTATTTTCCAAGGCGTGGATTTTTTAAAAAATATTTATTCAGGCCGTGGATTTTTTTGAAAATTTTTTTTCAAGGCGTGGATTTTTTAAAAATATTTTTTTTTTAAAATTTCACATTTTATTTCCTTTGAACCCACTGTGTCTTTGACCAAGGGGCAGTATAAACCTCTCTCTCGGTTTATTTATTTTTAATTTCTCTCTCTCACACACAGAGAAAGTATTGTTATGTTAACAACAAATCTTACCCAAAAATAGTTTGGCTAGCAATGCCGCTCATTCCCTAACCGGCCACAATGGAACTTATAAATATTGAGCTCCAGCAGCCCATAACAGGTAGTTGCAATCAAAACGTTCAACAGTTAACAGCTTACCTGAAAACATAAACAAAGAAGAGAAGTGTTATAATAATTAAAATTAAAAAAAACCTTAAAAAAGAAGACAAGTGTTTGGAAAAAATATATCGAAGTGTAAAATGGATGCAAAAACCTTTAGAGAATTTGGTAAAGCGGCCATCGATTATGTTGCCGATTATATGGAAACCATTAGAGATTGGTTAGTGTGAACTTGAAAAAAAAAATATGATCCCTAAGAAGAAATTTTTATTGTATTTTTTTCTTCCAAAGTGATGTCTTACCCTCCGTCGAACCGGGTTATCTCTTCGACTTATTACCCAAAGATATGCCAGAATCGGGTGAAGATTGGCATACGGTCTTAAAGGATATGGATCGTGTCGTTAAGCCCGGCATGACCCATTGGCAGTCACCGAATATGCATGCCTATTATCCCACAGCCTCATCATTCCCCTCAATTGTGGGTGATATTTTGTGTAACGGTTTCAGTGTCATTGGCTTTAGTTGGGTATGTAACACAAATTCACAATTATTTTAATAATTATTTCCATGGGCAAATTAATTACTGCAAACAAAGTGTGTCAAATAATTTGGCTTAGATTAAAACCATTAAAAAACCTGTTCGGAATAGATGCAACTATTTTCAAGATTAACAGAAGTTAATAACAATACACGTCTTGTGTGGCTGCTTGAAAAAATACTTTTAAAAAATCCACGCCTTGTGAGGATGCTTGAAAAATACTTTTAAAAAATCCACGCTGACCAATTTTAATAGAGCCTCCATTAGAATTTCCTCCACCTTCATCTACTGCTTTCATTGTCCAGCCATCGTTTTTCTTAGGACATTTCTCTCTCCACTCTTCGTTAGCCGGAGGTTTCTTCCCTCGACAATGCACACGTTCGACTGACTTGATACTTTCTTCTTTGTTTTCCATTTTGACTACAGTTTTTGCTGTCTTCTTATAGCCATCATCTTTCTAAAACGGGAAAAGTGATTAAATTTAAACCCTATGTAAATTACCATCTGGGATTAGTAAACTGCATTCTCTTTTAACCCCAAACATCACTTCTTCCTTGGCTTCCACATCCACATTCGGACAACATCACCATCCTGTTTTCTAAGATCAATTCCGGTATCTTCCTTTTTCATAAGCGGGTCCATAGATTTAAACTGCAGGATTTCTTCTTGTTTCTGTTTTTCGTAGTCATCTGTTTCTAATTCTCCAGTTTTTTCTCCAGTCGACTGTCTCCATCATTGCCTTTTGTAACTAAATTCCCTTTGGGGATTAGTGAACTGCATTCCCTTTTAACCCCAAACATCACTTCTTCCTTCCTTGGCTTCCACATCCACATTGGAACAACATCACCATTTTCTTCTTCATTCAGGAGATCAAATTCTAAGATCAATTCCGCTATCTTCCTTTTTCATAAGCGGGTCCATTGATTCTGCTACTTTAAACTGCGGGATATCTTCTTGTTTCTGTTTTTCGTAGTCATCTGTTTCTAATTCATGTTTTTTTTCTCCTGTGGACTGCCTCCATCATTGCCTTTTGTAAGTAAATTCCCTCTATAATGAGGGCTTGCCGGGGGCACCAAAATGTCGTTGGAAGATTCCAGCTTATTATGCAGCTCCTTTTTTACATCAGAGTATATGTCGGCCAGACGATTCAATTTGAAGAACATATTTTCAGAAAACTCCACATTTGAAACTTTTGGAATCAACTTTCTGACCTCCTGATCTGATCTCGGTTAGGGCTTTCTTTTGGGCAAATCACTTTTCAGGTCGTCACATCTGCTAATCACATAGTCGGCTTCGTAGTATATTTCCTCCAATGCAAAATCATACGTTCTGGAGTTCTTGGGGTAGATCGGACAATAGAATTCCAGACAATCTCTCTTCTTTTACAATGGATTCACAAATTTGGGTCACCTGCTCCAGTTCTGAATTTACTCCTTCATCATCGATTTCGGATGCAAGTTGCTTCAGTTTAGCCAACTGGTTTAATCTTTACCCATTCCGTTAGTAGACCTTCTGGCCAGAAGGGTATTCTCTCCGTTAAATATACACATATGGCGTTCAACTCCTGTGCGTCTCGATTAAACCGCCTATCCATTCTCGTTCTCTCCTTCTCATCAAGTCTTTTTTTTCAAGACTCTATGGAATAATCTAATCCTTTAGTAGACATTCTGGCCGGAAGGGTATTCTCTCCGTTATATGTACACATATGGCGTTCAACTCCTGTGCGTCTCGATTAAACCGTTCTCTCCTTCTAATCAAGTCTTTTTTTCCAAGACTCTATGGAAAAATCTAACTCCTTTTTTTATAAAAAACTGTTCACCTCGTAGAACAGATAACCTAACAATTTTTGAGTTCCTCACTCACAATTGCTGTTGTATTTTTTTTATAAGTTTTACTATGTCGTATTTGCAGCCAAGACTTTGCTGGTTCAATTGAGTCTCTTACCACTGGTGGGGAAAACTCAAAAATATTTATAATATTCAGACAGCCGCAGCTCGCCTGTATAATAAATTAAGACACGACACGGTGCTCCCGACCGTTCTTGTTTGAGTGTTTGTAAGGCACTCCTCTGTACAAAATATTATTGAGACACGGTGAGGGCTTGCCGGGGGCACCAAAAATTGAAAGGTTTCAACTACTTCCTTCAGCTTCTTCTCTATGCCCAAATATATATGGAGCATTCTATTAAATTTGAAAAATATGTCTTCAGTGAACACCACACATCCATGTTTTGGAAGCAATAGAGTGAGTTCCATATACAATCTCTTCAAAGACTCAATTTCAATTAGCGCTTTCTCTTTTGACATTTTGGGCAATTCACCTTTCACGTCGTCGCATCGCTCAATTACATAATCGACTTCAAGGAATATTTTTCTCAAATCACTTCTCTGATTTAAACGCTCTCCGTATATTTTTTATTTTTAAAATTATCGGAATACAACCGATAACCGGTTATATTCCGATTTAATATTTTCGGCGCCAATTTTAAACTCCATTTTCTGAAGCTCCTGCAATTCCCCCTCAAGTATATTCATCTATTCCATCAATTTGACCATTTTGCGGAAGGCCCAATTGATGGATTTTTTTTAAACTCCACGCCTTGTGTGGATCTCCTTATATACATTCTATACTAATTCTAGATCTGTCTTATTCTAGATTAATCTCAACGACTACTTTCGAGTATTTTCTTCAATTCAGTAACCACGAATCAGAACTACTTATATTGTAACTTATCAATGTAGGGTTCTCTAATTAAAATATATGTGTTGCCAATTAAGTAATCAATCACAATATTCAACACCTTGTGGATCCTTAAAAAAATTAAAGTAAAATATAAACCAAAAAATTCCACAGTCCACAATAAACACTGTCCTCTTTGCTTTGTTCCCATAAATTTCCCATTTGAAGTCGGCCCTGCCATTAAATTGTTACTTAGTCACCGTTATTGTTGTTGTAGCTTTTATCTCTTTCTTCACACCTTCAACTTGAAAATTAATTCTTGTTGTTGTAATAAACCAAAGAAATAACTACAATAACAAAAAGTAACAACCGCCATTAAGAAGAAAATAAACACAGATCTTTAAGGTTCACTTTCACTCAGGACAGAGGGGGAAACAAGTTTTCATTTACTCAGTGTTGGAACCCTCATCTAAAAAAAATGGTCCATCATGATCATCAATAAATTACAACCGATTGATTGTTTGGCTTTTTAATTTTTATTATCTTTTTTCACACCTTTTATGTTTTATTTTGATTTGTTGTTGTTCTTCTCTTCGCATTTGGTATGCCTTAATTTATTCAAAACAGATTTGATAACACTTGTTTAGTATACACCCAGCCCTATTAGATAATAACTGTTTCTTTTATTTTCTTTTCAAAATTAATGGGTTCGAATTTATGTCAAATAAAAAATGTTTCAAATAACTCGGCGAAGTTATGTTAATGTTGTTGAGCCCCCATTATTTCCATTTGAATGAAAGTTGATATGGATTTCATGGTCTTCGCCTGCATAAGAAAAGGCCAAGACGTGTGATCTTCGGCAGGCAAATGAAGAAAACCTGGAGTCTGTTGTATGAAAAAATCCCTGTAATTCTCTATATGAAGGCATGAAGACTTCGTGGTTGTCACCTTCATTAAAAAGACAAGAAATTCCGGGAATTCTCCATACGATGGCATGAGGACTTCCTAATATGATGAGATGCACTTCTTCATAAAAAAACCCCCCTAAACTCGAATTGATATAAAGAACTCTTATCTAAGTAATTAAAGGCCTGGCGACTTCGCTACATAAAATATACCTAAGACCCTCTTTTGGGAAAATATCGAGGCCAACATATGATCAATAATACTTTAGCTGATTATATGAATAAGTCAGTATTCATGTCCTCTCTAGACCAGAAGTCATCAGTTGGCTCGAGACAGAAAATTTGTTCTATTAGCCGAACATAAAAAGATTTCCAGGAGCATCGATCTTGTGTACAGGTTTTTCAATTTAAAAGAGCCTGCTTCGAGATATTCCCATTGAATAATTGGCTTTCCCCTTCTGCGTGAAACATCAGTTGGCTCGCTTTTATATGCCTTTGCCGTAGTCGCTGCAGTCAGATACGTTTGACAATGTCCATGACCGTGTACAGATGACATATCTTATGGTTCATTTGGGGACATAGATCTTTCGTAGAATTGGTCTTGTTCCTAAATTGCTTACTTCGAGCATAGTTGCATCTGTTGGCCCATACTATCCATTTCCGAATTTCAATACTGATGTCATTTGGTTTATCAATCGCAGATCCCACAGCTATCTATGTGTCCGAAATGAATTAGTTCAAAGAGACTATTCCATAAAAGGAACGACCGGTACTATGTCCGATGCTTAAGCTCATCTAATTCCATTTAATCGTTTACCTTTGTTCCAGTTCACCTGGTTCCTTTTTATCCAATCGTTCATTTAGTTCATTCCGTTCATTGCCCGCATTAAGTGACATATACCATTGAACGATGGAACAAAAAGGGAACTAGTTTATTTTAAAAGGAGCAAACCGAAAATATCGGTACGTTTCGATATTTTAACTTCCGCTTTATATTTCCATCGAATTCGTGGCCTTAACCTTTTGCATTAACCATCAGTTGGCTGGGTTTCGTCTGTCTTTTGAGCTGGGGCATCCTCATCCATTTGCACAACATGGCCTAGCCACTGTAGTCGCAACAGCTCCGTATATAGATGATATAACTCGTGGTTCAGTCGACGCAGATCGGATATTTCTTCTCTCAAATACTCCATGAGCTGCTTCATATGTTTGCGCAAGTATACCAGCACGGGTAGTATCTTCGTCTTGTGGTGTGTGAGTTTAGTCTGGCGAGAGGAGGTCCTGTTCCTAAATTGCTTAGTTAGACCATAGTAGCATCTGTTGGGCAATACTATCATTTTCCGAATCTCAATACTGATGTCATTTTATAGAGGTATCAAGGGGTTTAAATCATTGACACAGTTGTTACGGTCTTCTCGTCATTTACTGACAGAACCTCTTTGGCAGACTTCTTCCCAATTTGTTCGAATGTGGCCACAAATAAAATTTCTGACATCAATGCTGTTGTTTTCAAATTCCACAGTTGTTCCGAGTCTACTGTAGTCTTGCGCGTTGGTATGTATAACTTTTTCAGACCGCTTCTCAAATTGTTCAAAGTTGGCTGTTATCGCTCGTAACGTTCGACATATTATGTAGATGTCATCGTCGTAGCCTAGAAACATATATTCGTTGTTGTACCGAGTGTCACTTCTGTTCACCCTTGCATCTCGATTGAACTTTTCCAGCAGTATGTTTAATAGGTCACACGACAAACTGCCATTTTGTCTGAACCCTCGTTCCGAGAAGTTCTATCCAACTTTAACTGCATACCTAGGCCCTGTAAAAGTTATCTTGCAGTGCCAAGTTATTTAATGCACGGTACACAGGACGCTGTTTCGATCATTCATTCTTCTAGCCAAATTGTACTGTGCATGCTCCTGATCAGCATCTGCCCACCTATCTTGAATAGTTCGGCTGATAACCCATTGGCAGTAATTTGAACATGACATTCTTCTGAAGCGTTTTACGTCTTCAAGATTTCCATGATAAACTGGGGGATATTTTTTCAATATGTTTGAGAAGATTCGGCTCGAAGGACCACTGTTTGAAAAGTACACTGATTGGATGTTAAATCGCTTCTGATTTTATTGAAAATATAAATTCACTTAAGTACTCTATCACTTATTATGAGCACTTATCACTAGAACTACTTGCTGAGCGCATTATTCCCTTTACTGCAGACACGCCCCAGCAGCTCACACAATCATTATCACTTACGCACACTTATCTATGGAAATATATTTATGTTAGGCACTTAAATATTTTATGATCTATACACTTCGAAAATTATGTCCATATTTTTAACGAAATATTATGTTTCCCAATATTCCCAATTTTACAGATCTGCAGCCCGGCCTGCACCGAACTCGAAGTAGTTGTCATGGATTGGTTGGCCAAATTCCTCAAACTGCCAGAACATTTCTTGCACAGCACCGAAGGACCAGGCGGTGGTGTTATACAAGGTTCCGCCTCTGAAGCAATTTTGGTAGCTGTAATGGCGGCCCGCGAACAAGCTGTCAAGCAAATGAAGGAATCTCATCCCGAGATAAGTGAAAGTGATATTCGTGGAAAATTGATAGCCTATTCGAGTGATCAAAGTAATAGCTGCGTTGAAAAGGCTGGGGTATTGGCTGCTGTGCCACTACGTCTCCTACCAGTTGGTGATGATTTAATCTTTAAGGGAGAAATTTTGCAGAAGGCCATTGAGGAGGATAAGGCCAAGGGTTTGATACCAATTATATGCATTGCCACAATGGGTACCACGGGTACTTGTGCTTTCGATGATATTACCTCCCTGGCGGAGGTTTGTAATCGCAACAATGTTTGGTTACATGTTGATGCTGCCTATGCTGGTTCGGCCTTGGCTTTGGATGAATATTCGGAGCTCAGAAATGGTTTGGAGTTGGTGGATTCGCTAAATTTCAATCTGCACAAATTCCTCATGGTAAATTTCGATTGCACTGCCATGTGGCTGAAGGATGCCAACAAAGTGGTGGACAGCTTCAATGTTGATCGCATCTATTTGAAACACAAATACGAAGGACAAACACAGATCCCCGATTTCCGCCATTGGCAAATTCCACTGGGAAGACGTTTCCGTGCTCTAAAAGTTTGGATTACTTTCCGCACTGTGGGCGCCGAAGGCCTGAGGGCTAATGTCCGCAAACACATTGCCCTGGCCGAACGTTTCGAACAGAAACTCTTAGCTGATCCACGATTTGAAATGGTTACCAAACGTTGTTTGGGTTTAGTTTGTTTCCGCCCAAAGGGTGATAATAAGAGGACTACAGACTTGCTGAGTCTTATCACCGAACGTAAGAAGATCTATATGATCCAGGCAAAATATCGTGATCAACATTTCTTACGTTTTGTGGTGTGCGGCATGGACCCTAAGGAGGAAGATATTGATTTTGCCTGGCAGGAAATCCAGCAACAAATGAATGTCGTGTTGGAGAGGGAAATTGAGGCGACGCCTTTGAAGGCGGACATTAATTCAATTAGTCAACAATTATCAAAGGATTTGATTTTATCGCACTCGGAGAAGTCGAAGTGAGGAGGAGATTTTTTATTCTTTAAGAAAAACATGATATTTTTTATTTTGTAATTTATTTTTTAAGTGTTTAATATTTATATGTATGTAAGAATTTAATAAAAAATCCACCTTCGAGTTAATTGAATATTTTATTATAAAGTAAATATTTGTCTATGGTACTTATAGGCGTGTTGAGGATCTTGAAGGAGCATTTTCCAAACCTAGAATAAATAAGTGATGACTGTATAGATTCTATAGCACCTAGCCAATATGAGGTCTTACTTACTTAGTTGGCTTGAGGCAGAACATTTGTTTCATAAATCGAGCTTAAAAAAGATTTCCAGACGCGTCGGTCTTGTGAGCCGCTCTTCCAATTTGAAATAGCATGTTTCAAGATGTTGTCTTCCACTTGGTATTTCCATCGAGTTCATGACCTTCCCATTCTGCGTGATCCATCCGTTGGTTCACTTGTATATGCCTTCTCACAAAATGATAGCCACCGTCGCTGCAGCTCGATACGTCTAACTATGCCACTATTAGACCTGTGGAGAGTTTTCCCATAGTGTGCGTTATAAAATCTCAGCAAATCTTCTGTAATACAAAATTCTGTCGACGCAGATCGGCCCGTAAATCTTTCGGAGAATCTTTCTCCGTGCTTCAGATTCATACACCAGCACGGGTAGTATCAGTGTCTCGTAGAGTGTGAGTTTGGTCCGGCGAGAGGTGGCCTTGTTTTTGAATTGCTTACTCAGACCATAGTAGCATCTGTTGGCCACCACTATGAGGTCAGAATAGCAATTAATCGGCTGAAGAATTATAAAGCAGTAGATGCCAATGGGTTACCAGCCGAACTGACCAGTGGTTAGATGCTGATCAGGATCATGCACCAACTGATAAGTACAAACCTCTGCATTCTGTTTCCCGTGCAGTAAAAAAAAAAGACACGACGCATATGAAGTGCTATCCAGCGTGCTATGTAAACGACTAAAGCCAATATTCAATGACATTATTGGACCTGCCAATTTTCACATTGGAAAATCCTAGAAGGGGCCCACGAAAAACACATCGATACACTCCATCTATTCGTTTACTATAAAGCCGCATTCGACATCCATATCCCTGCTCAAGGCGTTTAAAGCCTAGTCTGCGTTCGGCATTCCAGCGAAATTAATACGGCTCTGCGGAAGGTCGAAGTGGCACAAAGTCGGTGTGCAAAATGATTTGAAAAAGAAATGTCCTCTTGCCAGTCACCTGCATATTCAAAATAATTTGAACAGAATTTTATATTACAGAAGATTTGATCGCTGGAGTGTTTTAAGATAAGATTTTAAAATCCCAGACGTAATGCTGATAAGAAGCACACAATGCGAAAATTCCCCACAAATCAAATTCTATTATTAGAACAAATGGTTTATTGATACGTATTAGGTATTTCAAACACCTAGGCTAAGCTAGAATAGTTTAAATAGTACCTAAGAATAATTATTTTACAATAAAATCGGTGCCTTACAACCACTCATGAAGAACGGTCGGGAGCACCATGGTACATTTATTTATAGTACAGACGAGCTGCGGTTGTCTGCAGATTTAACAGTCGTAAAGGACCTCTCGGAGGCTTTTCAATACCGTTCAATGTCACAGTTTATCTTTGACCTATTTAATTTTCTGCTGGGAAAATCCATTCGAGATGAAAAGGTGAACAGAAATGGCACTTGGTACACCATGCCGCATACGTTACTCGCCTACGCTCATGACATCGACATGATGTGTCGAACATTTGCGAGGTGTAAGAGCTACCTTTGAACGAATGGAAAAGTGTGACTGACAATAAACGGCGAAAATACCAAGCTGATTGTATTAACGCGCATGACGTCTAGTAGACTCGGACCAACAGGGGAACATGAAAACTACTCTCTCAGGATTCCGCAGACATACGAAAGAGTACCTATTAATGGCATAAAGATTGGGGCACAAATTTGATGGAAAGATCAAGTGGAAGATAACATATCGAAACATTGTCTTTCAAATTGGAAAAACTGCACACAACACCGATGCGCCTGGAAATTTTTTAAGCTCGTCACTCAATTCGGTAAATTAATGTGAAGAACTTACAAAGCGGCTCTGGCTAGCTATGTGGTACCAGTGTGACCTGCGAATACTAGTACTGTGCAATGGAGAAATATTCAGACTTGTCAGAACGCCGCCATGAGAACAGCAACAGGTTGCCTCCTCGTGACACCGGTGGACCATCTTCATGAGAAGACGTAGATCCTTCCCTAACGTCAGCATAGTAATATGCTGTCGTTCCAATACCTTCTCGGGTGCTTCAGGAACAAATTGATCATAAAAATACGAACATAATTTACGCAGTGTGGATCATAAACTATTTAAGTGCCTAACATAAATATATTTCCATAGATGAGTGCGTGTAAGTGATAATTCTTGTGTGAGCTTCTGGGTGCATCAATAATAAAGGCAATCCAACTGATAATGCGCTCAGCAAGGGACAAGCCAATAGTTCTAGTGATAAGTGCACAGAATAAGATACCCTAAGATTTCTATGATCGTCTAGCACTTAAGTGAATTTATATTTTTAATACAATCAGAAGCGATTTAACATCTCATCAGTGCGCTCTTCAAACAGTGGTCCTTCTAGCCGTGTAATTTCTTAAACACAAATGATGCTAAGTATCATATGGTGGATAAGACTCTCCCACCTTAGCGTGTCAGGAAGGTTCTGGTCCGCAAATTTGGTTTTTTTTAAAGAATATTTTTTTCCAAAAACTATGCGTCCCGCAAACGTAGAATATATAGTATTTTTTTTCCAAAGGACTATTTGATCAGTAATAATGAACCCAAAGCAAAGTCTAAATTTACGTGGGTTAGCTCTCATGTGTCCTTAATTTTTAATTAGAAAAAGTTGGATCCAATACATGATAATAAAATACAAATAATAATAATAAAAATTGCATTAATGTTTAACGATTGTTTTTGGCACCCAACGTTAAAAAACACATTCGTTCCAAATGCGAGTCCCTCTCAACAATCTAATATAAGAATAACTTTTTTTAATTTTCCCACAAGTTATGTGTTTTACTCGGTAACTTTGTGGTCGTCGGTGTTTTTGGATATAAATATATCGAGATTTTAAAGCATACCGGCATTTTAAGCGTGTTGCTTATTACTTCTCTTTCGGTTATATATAATCATTGTATTAATAACCGGTAACATCTTCTTGAGATACGTAAAAAGAGAGCTTTTCTGGCACACGCCATAAAATATGTGTGCCAATAAGTCCATTGTGAAAATGTTTAACGTATGATTTCCAAAAATATACTTGGGGGTTACAAGGTGTTATAAAACATCATGTTTGTTTTTAGATGTTAATATCTTTGGAAAGAAGTCTGGACATCACCAGGGCTTGTCCTTACCATTCACAACTTATATTGGTGTAGTCTTTGTTTGCGATTTTGCGGTTAAGATCTTCAATGTGAATTGAATATTTTTTTTTATTTATAAATTTCGGAATAAATTATTTTATACCGCAAACCGGTACCGGCTTTAATGTGTATCACGTTTCGTTAACGTGGTATTTCCTGAGGATGCAATTTTAATTGCCGAACATAGAATTATAAAGAGGAAAAGATATTAATGTGAGGTATACAACTGCATCGATCTACGTTGCGCTAGAAGGGGAAAATATACCAAAGGGAAGGTGGTTGTAGTGTGGAATGACCTTGTTATAGAGGAGGATGTCCTTTTGTCCATCTACTTCAATAGGATTATGGAGGAACCGGGACATTATAAATCCCAAAATGGAGTGGATGAACTGCATATACAGTGAACTCTCGATAATGTGAACTAATTAATGTCGGGGTTGTTTACATTTTCGAATTTATTCACAATAAGTAAATATTTATTGAACTCTAATTCCCTGATTTGTTCAATACTTTAATGTCAGAGTGTTCATAATTTCGAGAGTTCACTGTATGTCTAAGTTCCGTTATGTGTATTAGCATACATAGTTCTTAAGCAATATGTTTATATTGTATAATTTGTAGATGTAATATACGAGCACTCGAATTGCATGGATCAGTATTAATAGTGTGGAAAAATGTCCGCATAATTGTTCAAACCCGATAAATTTGTAAGCCAATAATAACAAATGTTGGGTCAGGAAGATACTGCGGCAAAGAAATGGCCTCAAATCTGTACCTTGAAACTGTAAAAGTTCGAAGATGAAGAAAAAAATCCCTACGGATATTTTCAGTGAATGAGAAGTGTATTTTAAATTTTTTGACTAGTACGTAATGCCAGTAATACCGGAATATGCACTCAGATGTGGTTTCAAATTTGAAGCAGGTGATTTAAAATACAATGTTCCATAGTACCTTCAGATGAACGGTTGCATCAAATAGAACTGTCCACCTGTTCAAAAATAATGAATATGAACTAAAATACTGGACCTAGTTCCTTCCGATCGTTCATTGTTTGGTATAGATTTAGATAATCTAGTTCACGGAGCCATTGATTTTAAACGATTTTAATTATTTTCCATAATAATAAATAAAATTATTATTTATTTCCTTTAAAAACATCCACCTATGGAGTCGCCCTCTATTGGTACAAAGCAAATCAAAGAATTGGGTTCGTCCATTAGATTTGGTTCGTGTATTAAATAAATTTACTCCATGTCATCACTAGCGACCTCTGGTTGTATTAAGCAAAACTACCACATGCTTTTCAAACTGTTCGACAATGTACATAAACTGGTATAACAGAACAGCTGAGGCCACTCAGCTGTCTTCACATTGTTGAGAAAATCGATTAGTCATTAATCGATATATTTATTTTTATAACACAAACAGAAACAAAAAACTTGACGTAAATAAACAAAAATATACAACAAAATTTTTCGTGATTAAATTTTCTTGTGGCTACGATTTGGAATTCTAGACATTAATTACTTATAGGAAAAATTTGCGGATCTCTTGTGAGTAATTAAAGGAAATTAACAGTTCGCACCTGCCATGCAATGGTAAGTTTGATGGGCATTTTGTTTGCAATGAAAAACTGACGAAAAAATGTTCTTGTTTTTGTTGTATTTTTTTGGAAGAAATAGGAAACGGATATAAAAAAATAATTTCGTTATATTTTTGAGGGTATGACGAAGAAGGGTTTAGAGGGTTTCATAAAACAATATGCTAATAATGGGAACTTTAATCTATAGGTCACCTTGAAGAATACCAATAGCAGACTTGGAAATTGGCAGGAAATATGTCAACTGAAGTATTCAAAAGTCGTGGGTTCAACCAGTTATTCAAAATATATCCAATTCATTGAATAATAAATAAAAAGAGCTGAAGGGAAAATATGTGGATCCTTTTAGAAGAAACTTTATAGGCAATCTGAAGGAAGGAAGTCCTAAAAATCAGCTCAAAGGGTATTTAAAGGCCTCTATAGGCCATCTAAAAGGAGTCTCTATAGACGATCTAAATTGATCCTCTATAGGCGAGCTGAATGAGTCCCTATAGGCTAGCTAAAGGGAGACTGTAAAAACAAGTTGAAGGAAGTCTCTATAGGCCACCTAAAGGAAGATTCGGTTGACCAGCTGAAAGAAGCCTTTATATGCGAACGTAAAGGGAGGCTCTATAATTAATAAAAGGAAGTAATTTAAAAAGAGTCAGTATAGCCGATCTGAATGGATCCTCTATAGGCGTGCTGAGTGGATCCTCTATAGACTACCTGAGCCCTACACGCGGGCTTAATGGAGAGTCTATAGGCGAGCTAAAGGGAGCCTATATAGGCGATATGAAGGGAGCCCCTATAGGCGATCCGGATGGAGTCTCTTCATGACAAACTGAAGTCACAGAGAAATCTCACTATAGACTGAAGAGCTGAAGAGAATCCCAATATAAGTCTTAAAAAAATATTATTTAAAGAAACAACGCCTGTAGGTCCTTCGAAAAAATATTCTTTTAAGAAACAACGCCTGTAGGTCCTTCGAAAAAAATATTCTTTCATGAAACCAAGCCTTTAGATCCTTAGAAAAATTTTCTTTCAGGAAACCAAGCCTGTAGATCCATAGAAAAAATTTCTTTCAGGAAACCAAGCCTGCAGGTCCTTAGAAAAAAATATTCTTTCAGGAAGCCAAGCCTGTAGATCCTTACAAAAATATCCTTTAAAGAAACCACGCCTGTAGGTCCATGAAAAAATTCCTTTAATGAAACCACGCCTGTAGGTCCTTAGAAAAAATTCCTTTAATGAAACCACGCCTGTAGGTCCTTAGAAAAAAATCCTTTAATGAAACCACGCCTGTAGGTCCTTAGAAAAAATATTCTTTAAAGAAACCACGCCTGTAGGTCCTTAGAAACAATTTTCTTTAAAGAAACCACGCCTGTAGGTCCATAGAAACAATATTCTTTAATGAAACCACGCCTGTAGTTCCTAAGAAAAAATATTCTTTAAATAACCCACTACAGCGGTTCCTTAGAAAAAAAATTCTAGAAAAAAATATTCTTTAAAGAAACCACGCCTGTAGGTCATTAGGAAAAAATATCCTTTGAAGAAACCACGCCTGTAGGTCCTTAGAAAAAATATTCATTAAAGAAAGCACGCCTGTCGGTACTTAGAAAAAATATCCTTTAATGAAACCACGCCTATAGGTTCTTAGAAAAAATATTCTTTAAACAATCCACGCCTTGTATAGGTCCCCTAAAAATATTTTTAAAAATCCGCACCTGTAGGTCCTTGAAAAATATTTTTGATTGATGATCCTTTGTTCTCTTCCCTTTCTTTCCAGTTTCAAAAATGCCCGTCGGAAAATTTTCAATGCCACCACACTTAAAACCGAAATCCCCCATGATGCTACACGGAAGTCCGTGAACGATATACAAACTGTGATAATTGGAGCTGGGTTAGCGGGCCTATCGGCCGCAAATCATCTCATTAAGAATGGCTTTAAGCGTACCATAGTCCTGGAGGCCACCGATCGTTATGGTGGCCGTATTAATTCGCAACATTTTGGTGATGCCTTCTGTGAGCTGGGGGCGAAGTGGATAACAATTGACGCCTCCCATAATAGTGTTTATGAATTGTTGCAGCAGCGATCCGGGTTAACCAAGAAAATTCAACAGAAAGAGGAGACTCTCTACATTAATACCAAAGGCAATAAAATTAATCGGCATCTACCGGAAATGGTGGATATCTTTTTTAAGAAGCTGTGTGCAGGAGTGGAGTTGAAGAATCGTTATGCCAAGGGCAATTTACATGAGTTGGATAATGTCTATAGCTATTTCCAGGCGGAAAGTACGAAGCTCATTAATTCGATGTTCAAAGAAAAGGAACGCCATCTGGTGGCGGATATTTTCAATGCTTTGATGAAGGATTTCGGTGGCAAATTGGGTTGCAATCTGGAGTATTTAAATATTGAACAGTTGATTAAATTTAAAAATCAATTTGCCTATCCGATTTACATACCCACCGGAATGAATAGCATACTGGAAGATGTCATCGTGGATATTGATAGTGAAAACCTGCTGATAGGCCGGCCAGTGGGGGAGATTAAATGGTTAAGTGGTCCCATGGATAGAGGGGAGGCCAAGAAAGCGGTCAATTGCCTGGATGGTTCGGCAATCAATGCAGATCACATTATCTGCACCGTACCCCTAGGGGTGTTGAAAACATTTGCCGGAGTGATGTTTAAACCCCCTCTGCCGGCTGAAAAACTAAATGCCATTAAAAATTTAGGTTTCGGCAGTCCGGTGAAAATTTATTTCGAATATAAAAACCCATTACCCTCATGGTTTGTGGCGAATCTGCGACCCCTGTGGTCGTCAGAGGAACATTTGCAGGATCGCCATTGGACCAAACAGGTGGTGGAAATTGCAAAGGCACCCAGCAGCAATCATGTTTTGGAAATTGCCATCGGCGGGGCGTACTATGATGAAATTGAAAAATTACCCGACACTGAGGTCATCGATGAAATAACCAAACTGCTAAGGCTGTGTTTAAAAAATCCAAAGATTCCCTATCCCGAGGAAGTGTTGAGGTCAAATTGGAGCAGTAGTGCTTGCTATTTAGGTGGACGACCCTATTTCTCTACCAACAGTAGTGCTCAGGATATTCAGACGCTATCACAGCCATTGGGTATGACAGCGCCAAGTTTACTTTTTGCCGGGGATGCTACAATTCTGAATGGGTTTGGTACGGTGGATGGGGCCCGGATGAGTGGTATACGAGAGGCTCAACGTATTATCGATTACTATAAGAAGTAGTAAAATTTTATTTTATTTTTTGGATAAGGATATACCAAAATATTATTAATAAATTAATTTATTTAAATTTTTAAATTATTGCGGACGAATAAATTATTAACTAAAAATTAAATTTTAAATAAAAATGGCTATTTTATTTAAAAATATTTTTTCAAGACGTGGATTTTTTAAAATTATTTTTTCAAAGGCGTGGATTTTTTAAAATTATTTTTCCAAAGGCTGGATTTATTTTAAAATTATTTTTTCAAAGGCGTGGATTTTTTAAAATTATTATTTCAAAGGCGTGGATTTTTTAAAAAAAATCTTTTCAAGGCGTGGATTTTTTAAAAATATTTTTTTAAGGCGTGGATTTTTTAAAAATATTTTTTAAAGGCGTGGATTTTTTAAAATTATTTTTTCAAAGGCGTGGATTTTTTAAAATTATTTTTTCAAAGGCGTGGATTTTTTTAAAAATATTTTTCAAGGACTATCCAAAGCGTGGATTTTTTAAAATTATTTTTTCAAAGGCGTGGATTTTTTAAAATTATTTTTTCAAAGGCGTGGATTTTTTAAAATTATTTTTTCAAAGGCGTGGTTTTTTTAAATTATTTTTTCAAAGGCGTGGATTTTTTAAAATTATTTTTTCAAAGGCGTGGATTTTTTAAAATTATTTTTTCAAAGGCGTGGATTTTTTAAAATTATTTTTTCAAAGGCGTGGATTTTTTAAAATTATTTTTTCAAAGGCGTGGTTTTTTTAAATTATTTTTTCAAAGGCGTGGATTTTTTAGAATTATTTTTTCAAAGGCGTGGATTTTTTAAAATTATTTTTTCAAAGGCGTGAATTTCTTTAAAATATTTTTCCAAAGACGTGGTTTTTTTAAATATTTTTTCAAAGGCGGGGATTTTTCAAAAGTGATTTTTCAGAGGCATGGACTTTTTAAAAGTGATTTTTCAGAGGCATGGACTTTTTAAAATTATTTTTTCAAAGGCGTGTTTTTTTTTTAAATTATTTTTTCAAAGGCGTGGATTTTTAAAATTATTTTTTCAAAGGCGTGGATTTTTTAAAATTATTTTTCCAAAGGCTGGATTTTTTTTTTAAATATTTTTCCAAAGGCTGGATTTTTTAAAATTATTTTTTCAAAGGCGTGGATTTTTTAAAAATATTTTTTCAAAGGCGTGGAAATTTCAAAATTATTTTTCAAAAGCGTGAAATTTTTAAAATTGTTTTTCAAAGGCGTGGAATTTTTAAAATTATTTTTCAAAGGCGTGGATTTTTTAAAATTATTTTTTCAAAGGCGTGGATTTTTTAAAATTATTTTTTCAAAGGCGTGGATTTTTTAAAATTATTTTTTCACAGGCGTGGATTTTTTAAAATTATTTTTTCAAAGCGTGGATTTTTTAAAATTATTTTTTCAAAGGCGTGGATTGTTTAAAATTATTTTTTCAAAGGCGTGGATTGTTTAAAATTATTTTTTCAAGGCGTGGTTTATTTTAAAATTATTTTTTCAAAGGCGTGGATTTTTTAAAATTATTTTTTCAAAGGCGTGGATTTTTTAAAATTATTTTTTCAAAGGCGTGGATTTTTTAAAATTATTTTTTCAAAGGCGTGGATTGTTTAAAATTATTTTTTCAAGGCGTGGTTTATTTTAAAATTATTTTTTCAAAGGCGTGGATTTTTTGAAATTATTTTTTCAAAGGCGTGGATTTTTTGAAATTATTTTTTCAAAGGCGTGGATTTTTTAAAGTTATTTTTTCAAAGGCGTGGATTTTTTAAAATTATTTTTTCAAGGCGTGGATTTTTTAAAATTATTTTTTCAAGGCGTGAATTTCTTTAAAATATTTTTCCAAAGACGTGGATTTTTTAAAATTATTTTTTCAAGGCGTGGATTTTTTAAAATTATTTTTTCAAGGCGTGAATTTCTTTAAAATATTTTTCCAAAGACGTGGTTTTTTTAAATATTTTTTCAAAGGCGGGGATTTTTCAAAAGTGATTTTTCAGAGGCATGGACTTTTTAAAAGTGATTTTTCAGAGGCATGGACTTTTTAAAATTATTTTTTCAAAGGCGTGTTTTTTTTAAAATTATTTTTTCAAAGGCGTGGATTTTTAAAATTATTTTTTCAAAGGCGTGGATTTTTTAAAATTATTTTTCCAAAGGCTGGATTTTTTTTTAAATATTTTTCCAAAGGCTGGATTTTTTAAAATTATTTTTTCAAAGGCGTGGATTTTTTAAAAATATTTTTTCAAAGGCGTGGAAATTTCAAAATTATTTTTCAAAAGCGTGAAATTTTTAAAATTGTTTTTCAAAGGCGTGGAATTTTTAAAATTATTTTTCAAAGGCGTGGATTTTTTAAAATTATTTTTTCAAAGGCGTGGATTTTTTAAAATTATTTTTTCAAAGGCGTGGATTTTTTAAAATTATTTTTTCAAAGGCGTGGATTTTTTAAAATTATTTTTTCAAAGGCGTGGATTTTTTAAAATTATTTTTTCAAAGGCGTGGATTTTTTAAAATTATTTTTTCAAAGGCGTGGATTGTTTAAAATTATTTTTTCAAGGCGTGGTTTATTTTAAAATTATTTTTTCAAAGGCGTGGATTTTTTGAAATTATTTTTTCAAAGGCGTGGATTTTTTGAAATTATTTTTTCAAAGGCGTGGATTTTTTAAAGTTATTTTTTCAAAGGCGTGGATTTTTTAAAATTATTTTTTCAAAGGCGTGGATTTTTTAAAATTATTTTTTCAAAGGCGTGGATTTTTTAAAATTATTTTTTCAAAGGCGTGGATTTTTTAAAATTATTTTTTCAAAGGCGTGGATTGTTTAAAATTATTTTTTCAAGGCGTGGTTTATTTTAAAATTATTTTTTCAAAGGCGTGGATTTTTTGAAATTATTTTTTCAAAGGCGTGGATTTTTTGAAATTATTTTTTCAAAGGCGTGGATTTTTTAAAGTTATTTTTTCAAAGGCGTGGATTTTTTAAAATTATTTTTTCAAGGCGTGGATTTTTTAAAATTATTTTTTCAAGGCGTGGTTTATTTTAAAAAGATTTTTTCAAGGCGTGGTTTATTTTAAAAAGATTTTTTCAAGGCGTGGTTTATTTTAAAAAGATTTTTTCAAGGCGTGGATTTTTTAAAATTATTTTTTCAAGGCGTGGTTTATTTTAAAAAGATTTTTTCAAGGCGTGGTTTATTTTGAAAAGATTTTTTCAAGGCGTGGATTTTTTAAAATTATTTTTACAAAGGCGTGGATTTTTTAAAATTATTTTTTCAAAGGCGTGGATTTTTTAAAATTGTTTTTTCAAAGGCGTGGATTTTTTAAAATTGTTTTTTCAAAGGCGTGGATTTTTTAAAATTATTTTTTCAAAGGCGTGGATTTTTTAAAATTATTTTTTCAAAGGCGTGGATTTTTTAAAATTATTTTTTCAAAGGCGTGGTTTTTTTAAATTATTTTTTCAAAGGCGTGGATTTTTTAGAATTATTTTTTCAAAGGCGTGGATTTTTTAAAATTATTTTTTCAAAGGCGTGAATTTCTTTAAAATATTTTTCCAAAGACGTGGTTTTTTTAAATATTTTTTCAAAGGCGGGGATTTTTCAAAAGTGATTTTTCAGAGGCATGGACTTTTTAAAAGTGATTTTTCAGAGGCATGGACTTTTTAAAATTATTTTTTCAAAGGCGTGTTTTTTTTTAAATTATTTTTTCAAAGGCGTGGATTTTTAAAATTATTTTTTCAAAGGCGTGGATTTTTTAAAATTATTTTTCCAAAGGCTGGATTTTTTTTTAAATATTTTTCCAAAGGCTGGATTTTTTAAAATTATTTTTTCAAAGGCGTGGATTTTTTAAAAATATTTTTTCAAAGGCGTGGAAATTTCAAAATTATTTTTCAAAAGCGTGAAATTTTTAAAATTGTTTTTCAAAGGCGTGGAATTTTTAAAATTATTTTTCAAAGGCGTGGATTTTTTAAAATTATTTTTTCAAAGGCGTGGATTTTTTAAAATTATTTTTTCAAAGGCGTGGATTTTTTAAAATTATTTTTTCAAAGGCGTGGATTTTTTAAAATTATTTTTTCAAAGGCGTGGATTTTTTAAAATTATTTTTTCAAAGGCGTGGATTTTTTAAAATTATTTTTTCAAAGGCGTGGATTGTTTAAAATTATTTTTTCAAGGCGTGGTTTATTTTAAAATTATTTTTTCAAAGGCGTGGATTTTTTGAAATTATTTTTTCAAAGGCGTGGATTTTTTGAAATTATTTTTTCAAAGGCGTGGATTTTTTAAAGTTATTTTTTCAAAGGCGTGGATTTTTTAAAATTATTTTTTCAAAGGCGTGGATTTTTTAAAATTATTTTTTCAAAGGCGTGGATTTTTTAAAATTATTTTTTCAAAGGCGTGGATTTTTTAAAATTATTTTTTCAAAGGCGTGGATTGTTTAAAATTATTTTTTCAAGGCGTGGTTTATTTTAAAATTATTTTTTCAAAGGCGTGGATTTTTTGAAATTATTTTTTCAAAGGCGTGGATTTTTTGAAATTATTTTTTCAAAGGCGTGGATTTTTTGAAATTATTTTTTCAAAGGCGTGGATTTTTTGAAATTATTTTTTCAAAGGCGTGGATTTTTTAAAGTTATTTTTTCAAAGGCGTGGATTTTTTAAAATTATTTTTTCAAGGCGTGGATTTTTTAAAATTATTTTTTCAAGGCGTGGTTTATTTTAAAAAGATTTTTTCAAGGCGTGGTTTATTTTAAAAAGATTTTTTCAAGGCGTGGATTTTTTAAAATTATTTTTTCAAGGCGTGGTTTATTTTAAAAAGATTTTTTCAAGGCGTGGTTTATTTTGAAAAGATTTTTTCAAGGCGTGGATTTTTTAAAATTATTTTTACAAAGGCGTGGATTTTTTAAAATTATTTTTTCAAAGGCGTGGATTTTTTAAAATTGTTTTTTCAAAGGCGTGGATTTTTTAAAATTGTTTTTTCAAAGGCGTGGATTTTTTAAAATTATTTTTTCAAGGGCGTTTTTTTTTAAATAATTAATTTTTTATTT